CAGGCTCGTGAGGAGGACCTGAGCCAGCAGACGTGGCCGTGAGCAGATGCCCTGCTGCGGTGCCTGGTGTCAGCAGGGTCATTTCTGTGGGGTTTGCCGCTTGGCCAGGGCTGGCAATCATCTGGGTGGTGGAACAGCTGCAATAGCTCGAGCTCTTCCTGTGCAGGTGCAAGAAGAAAGTGTCAGCCAGCAAACGCTTCACTGTCCACCGAGCCTCCAAGGTTCTCACAGTCTCCTTGAAGTGCTTTGCTGGCTTTGGTGGAGGAAAAATCACAAAGGTGAGTGCTGGGCCATCCAGAGCTGGAGCTGTCTCCTGGCCAGAGGCCCTGCTGCCTAGAGCAGGGGGGGAGGTGGTTCTGTGCGCAGCGCGAGCTCTGCCGCTGCCCTGCAGCCCTTCCCCAGCTGTGAGGTGCCGTGGGAGTTGGGCTCATCCTGGCACCTTCCTCAGCGTGACCTCTGCTTGGGGAGAGCGGGTCCCCCTCTCGACAGAGATGGGACTCGTAGGACAGCTGAGCTGCTCTTGCTCTAGCAAGAAAGCCGTCTGCTGCGCAGGCTCCTGAGACATCCTCTCTCTGCAGGACGTGGGGTACCCCGAGTTCTTGGACATCCGGCCCTACATGTCACAGAAGAACGGGGATCCCGTCATGTACGGGCTGTATGCGGTGCTGGTGCACTCCGGGTACAGCTGCCAGGCAGGGCACTACTATTGCTACGTGAAGGTGAGCCTGGGGCACTCTCTGGGCACCCCCTCTGGGCTGGGGGCGTGTGGGGGGCTCGTGGGACACGGCAGTGCGCAGAAAGGAGGGGGCTCAGCAGATGTGTGTGGTGTGGAGCAGTGGATGGGGAGTACAGGCTGTGCTCCGCCGCAGGGAGCGTGGAGGTCTGCTCTCGCAGAGTCTCCTTGCCTGCCCTGGGCCGCCTGTGGGTTTTGGGGACAGGAGCTCCACCGGCACGCGCTGTTCCTGCTGCTCTTCAGTCCAGGAGGGTCCCCGGCCACAGCTCGACCCCATTCATTCTCTCTTTTCCTTCTGCAGGCCAGCAACGGGCAGTGGTACCAAATGAACGATGCTGTGGTCCGCCCCAGCAACATCAAAGTGGTCCTCAAGCAGCAGGCCTACGTGCTGTTCTACCTGAGGTGAGAGCGCCCGGCGTCTCCCGGCCCCTCCTGCCCCTTGCTCTCAGCACTGGGGACAGGGCTGGTAGCAGGCTCCTGGGGGTGGGAGGGAGCTGGGCTCAAGTTGCCCCG